CTGTATTTCTCCTTTAGAAGCTCTGCCAGGTCTTTACTACAGTCGCTTCAGTGGTGGTGTTAACAGACCAACTGTGTTTACTCTTTGAAGTATTGCTTGCGTTACGTTCCTGTATATATCTGAACTCATGAATAATATAAGAGAGGAGAGTGATTTAAGTTTTTCTTTCTGTGGACTAAACTGAGATATTTACCATGTTGCATATTTGTCGATGTAAAACATAGCTTGTGCTTTATTATCCCTCATCAGCATTATATTTAGTTATCAGGAAACACACTGCCAGCAAAAGCCAGCTTGTTATATTTTAAATGCACGAACACAACCCTTAAATAATTACTTACATATTTATCATTTGTATATATTTTTTTAAACTGACAGCTGTCAGCTGCAGTATGGGCTTGCAAAATTCACACAAAGAAAATATAGTATGAGTGGAAAAGCTTGTACAAAACTCCCAAAAAGTTTTCTGGCTACTTCTCAGGGAAAACTCTGAATCTGTGGTTCATGATTCAAGTCAGTAATGAATGTGAAGGAAAAATAGGTAGAACATTAGCAAAATAATTTTTCATTTGACAACTGTGAGGAGGAGGCGGGAGGCTGGTGGGTTGTGCCACCACTGCCGTGATTCATTAGTGAGCGGTACCAGAAGCCATCGTGCTCTATTCTCGTCATTACCAGTGCAGCACATGGCTCCATGTTTGAACAGCGCGCAGCCGTCCAGTGTGAAACAGCTGCCGCGAACACAGAAAACATGAAGAAAAAAACCCTTGGCTTGCTGTATATCAAGCAATTCCAGAAGGCCAAAAATTTGTATCATCCATCTGGACGCCTCATTAGCTACAGAGTTTGACCTCACTGCTTTTTTTTTCTCTCGCCCAGCTTAGTTTTACAGCTTTAAATCTTTGAAATCGTGCTGAGCAATCACGACTTCTTTATTGACTAATTTAAAAGGAAAACAGCAAACAGCAGTTTGACAGAAAAGTTAGCTTGAAAGCACCACTCTGTTTTGGAAAAACATTTCTTTTCTTTTTTTCCTCTGAGCTAGCATTTAAGTTGTAGAACGTGCAGATATTTTGTAAAGAGTAGGCAGATGCAGTAAAGGGGATATCCTCTATCTGCCTGTCTGTATAAGTAATAACTCTCTTCTTCATGTTTTACAACAATAGTCAGTGTGAAATTAATAATTATGTTTCAGCATATTTTTCCAGGAATGCTTCATTTGGGCAGCTTGCTGGCGAAGCTTATTCCAGGCACCTGGGTAACTGTCTCTAAATTGCCTCACAGTGTAGAAAGCAGCAGATTGCAGGATGGCTTCATCACTTGTTGTTGATATAACGGCAGCGATACAAGGCCAGTCAGGGCAGCAATTCAAAACTGCATCATCCGAGGTTGTGTGCAAAGGTGATGGACAATCAAATGACAACAGTGTAGCACGAGTTCCAACTGGCATTTATTGGAAACTTCAGAGGATATTAAAACCGCATAATCTAAATGGATCTCCTACTGTCAAGTCCCCAAGCCCTTCACTCTCCTCTTTGTGCCTTCCTTTCTGCCTGCACAGCTCAAACCTTTTTATCCCTATATTGCTCCTGGGTTTGCAGTGCACGTAGCCCAGAACACAGTCCGATGTAGCAGCACTTCTCCTCTCCACCTCCACCTTTGTATTGGGCCTTGGCTGTGGGTTTTACTGAAGAGTAATATCATGAATTGAGATGTCATTTCAAAGCATCCGGTGCTTTAGAAGCACACAGTATACTCTAGGGCACAACCGTTTTCCCACTTTTCTCTTCCAATGATAGAAGAACTGATGCTTGATGCTTAGGGGTATTTGGAAAGTACAATATGGTGGTCCACATATATAGATTTACTGTATAAAGAAGTCAAAATCTATCATGGAGAGAGCTGAACTCATCATGTGTGCTGGAAATCATATGGCAGCAGCTCAATGCATTTAGGCATGTAGACATCTTGCTGACACTCTGCTAAAGTTAAATCACAGATCTTTTCCATTCTGATGCTCCATTTTAAGGGGCAACCTTCTCTAGGGTTTACAGAGAAGGTTGCCCCTCCGATGGTGCGTCTGGAAGAAGATGTCACCCTCATCACCAAAATCCGCCTGTACCGCACACTGGTATTGCCCATTCTTCTCTATGGATCCGAGACCTTGGTCATCCACAAGCACAACCTCAACAAGCTCGAGGTCTTCCAAATGCGCCATTTGCATCAGAGTCTCCGAGTGTCCCTCCCTTCCCATCTCAGCACGATATGTAGTCAATGTCACCAGCAACACTCAATGGAAGTGCTGATCCAGAAGCAATGACTGCAATGGTTTGGCCACATCTGTAGCATGAGCAACCATCGCCTGACATATTGCCTTCTGCAGCAGCAGCGCCCCGCCCATTGGAGAATCAAGCATGACGCGCCCAAGAAGACTTGGATCAAGCAAATTGAAGATGATCTTAAACAACAACGTCTAACCCTCAAGGCCAGAGATCACAAGGCCTAGAAGTGCATTGTTGACCAAGATAGAAACCCTAAGGCACCCACAGCGACGTATTGGCTTCGCGGCTGACCTCCCCTGCAGACCGCCAGCTAGGGACAAAAATAAGAAAAAGAAAGAGGGTTTACAGTAAATGGTCAGAGAAAAAAAATACATATAAAACTATGTCCCGTGATGGCAGTTCTCTTGGTTCCAGAGGTCTGAGGAGAATAGCTAAACTGCTTCAAGTTGATAGGAAGCAAACAGTAACTCAGATAACTTTTTACAACCAAGGTATGTAGAAGAGCATCTGTGAATGCACAATGTACTGAACCTTGAAGCAGATGATAATAATAAATAGTATCCTGATTCTCAGCTGCCATTCATGTCAGCTAACAATTCACACATGTCACCAAAATGGGATTAGAAATTTTGAAAAAATGTTGCCTGTTGATGGGCTCCGCCAGGGCTGCCCTTTGTCACCGGTTCTGTTCATAATTTTTATGGACAGGATTTCTAGGCGCAGCCAAGTGGCGGAGGGCTTTCACTTCGGTGGTCTAGGAATCTCATCTCTGCTTTTTGCGGATGATGTGGTTCTGTTGGCTTCATCGGGTGAGGGCCTCCAGCTCACACTGGAACGGTTCGCAGCCGAGTGGGACGCTGCTGGAATGAGGATCAGCACCTCCAAATCTGAGGCCATGGTTCTCAGCCGGAAAAGGGTGGAGTGCCCACTCCGGGTCAAGCATGAGTTCCTGCCCCAAGTGGAGGAGTTCAAGTATCTCGGGGTCTTGTTCACGAGTGATGGGAGAAGGGAGCCGGAGATCGACAGACGGATTGGGGCTGCAGCTGCAGTAC